TTTCAGTCCATGCAAAAACATATTTATTATCCCGATATAAAGCGGTAGCCAATAGCCCCTGTTTCCGATGATCACCCAATGGAGAAACCAAAGCAAGTCACTGCCGTGTTTGACATCAAAAGCCACGAAAGCTCGTAGCATATACACTATAGAGAGAGAAAATTCTAGAGGGAGAGAGAGAGAGTTTATTTGTGTAATCCGGCGTTTATACTTTCGTGCTTTGCAATCTTTTTGGTTTCTCTGATACTTTGAGTGAATTTCTAGGAAAAAGTTGAAATTTTCTTGGCTAGATTTGATCGCAGAAAAGCGAGATTGGTCGATGAACAACAAATTTCCCGTGAAGTTTGTGTTGATTGATTGATTGAGCCAGGAAGATGAGGGGAGTGAATGGAGAGATGAGAGGAGTGAACAATACTTTTGAGACCATAAACGCTGCTGCGAATGCGATCGCTATGGCTGAGAATCGTGTGCGTCAAGCTTCAGTTCAGGTAATTCATTTCATTTCATTTGATTCCGACCTATTTTTATATCATTCAATATTTTATAGTTTTATTGCACGAATTCAAGCAATTCATTTCATTTCATTCCGACTTTTTTTTAATTACTTCACGAATTCAATCATTTGATTTCTTCCATAGGCTGCTTTTTAGGTTTTTAGATCTGTTAATTTTTCATATCAGTAATTCGATGATTGACTCAACTTTTCTGTAACCCGGCTTGTTTATAATTTGTTATCATTTTGTGTTGAAGGTTGACTTTGAGTTTTTGAGAAAGTCTATGGCTTTAGCTTGAAGGAGATTTGAAGTTCCAGTGCTTTGCTTTAGTAAGATGCGGTTTACATGTTGGCATGTTCTTTGAAGGAATGAAGCTTTTTGGGAATTTAATGGCTATTTGTTTTTGTTGATGGAACAAGGTTTTCTAACTACTTATCCTAGGAATTAGATGCGAAATAAATTCATGTGACAAGCTCTGCTGCTTGTGACATTGCTAGCTGTCTAGCTGCATGGCATGTTGCAGTTTGTTTTCAGCAAAGATCTTTTATTCCATTTGAAATTTAGCCGTTTTTTTTTCCTGATGAATATGATCAGAATCATTATTGGCAGGGTGAATTTCATTTGGATGAGAGAACCTAGTGCTTTGCTGATACCAATACTGTGTAAGGATCTTACATTGTGCTGAAGTGACTAGAAATTTGCAATTAACCCCTGCTTTTGGAGTTCTATTTCTCTGGCTTCGACTTGGTCTATAATTTCACAGAAAAAATATTTGATTGTTTCATAAACATTTTGAATAATGTGGTCAGATGGATTCAAAATTCTATTATGGTAGTTGAGCTGCTCATGCCTCTCTCAAATATGATGATTTGATTTTATATTTGTCTTTCTGATTTTAATGTACTGTCCCTCGGGAGGTAATTTGTGAATCTAGCTGATGTTTTCTAGTAGGACTTCAGATATTATTGTAGATCAGAGTTATAGAATGAACAGTTGTAGTCCTATTTTATTTATTTAACTTTTTTTTTATGGGTATTCCTCTTTTATGGAAAAGAAGAAATTTCACTTTTCCTTAACGAATCATGGGTAAGTTTCTGTTAAACTGCATAAAGACATGAGAATTGGTGACATAGTTACGATTTAAAATTTTGTTTCATGTGATTACAATGTAAGCATTTCATCGGGATGCAATAAAGATGTGGATGGACTTTTGTAATAACTTTGAAAGCTAATAGTTTTAGTACTGTATCCATGAGGTGCCACGTATTGCAGTGGAACAAATTTTCTCTGCAGCCTTCTGTCTTTATTAAATGCAGTTGGGCACTTTGTGCCTTATCAAAAAGAATGGCAAGGTTTATTGTTTGCAATGTTATATCAGTTATAACTTGGTCTATGTGATTTCTTTCTTATTAGACTCATTTTATTTGTCCAATGTATAATGTGATGTTATGTCAGTTATAACTTGGTCGATGTATGATTGCCAGCTATCCACGGCATCTTTTTTGTTTCTTCCATTTTTCTCCACTCTGCGTAGTTTTTCCTTTTTTTCTGGTGAGTACATTCTCACAATTGAAGAGCTAAATATAGATGTTCCATGATGCATGATCCAAAAACAATCAGTCCTAAACAAAGTCATGTCAAAATTTTTGAAATTGTCATGCCCTCCTTGTAGCCATGACAAAATGCAACACTTTTTTGTCGCTATCCACAAATCAAATGATGAGAACGTGATTCATGTGGATATTGAATTCTTGTTTTGCTTTTAAATGTAATGTTAGCTCATTTGAACCAATGTGCATGTCTAGTTCAAGTAAAAAATATAGTGTCTGCACCAGAAGTTTCTATGCACTTCTCATATGGAGTTAAGAGTGGCAAATATATGCGTATCCTTTGGTTTCTGCAACTTTTTTCATCACTCAGTTACAAGTAGTAAAGCATTTAATGTCACTCCAGACAACAAAGAATGTCAGATCTGTGTATGTACATATCATATGGAAGCATATGGCTTGTGATTGTGTTTTTTTTATGGTGTTTTAGACTATTAGAGAACACATTAATCAGATTTATTGTGTTTTCTTTAGTTTTTTTAGTTTATTGTGTTGGTTTTTTTAACTTAAAATTTGAAAATTTGTGAGGCATTCCGCATTCCTACCCTACGTTCTGAGCCGATTTTTTGGATGGAATTCGGCTCGAAATATTACCCTCAATCTGGTAGAGTCGACCAAGAAATAATCTTCCTCAACTTATTGGCTCGGGACATGAAATCCAAAAATTTCTATCCATTGGCTTGGGTGAACAGCCCTATATATATGGTCGAGTGTTTTTATACAGTTGCCTTTGCCTGGACATGTTTCTGTTTCGTTGTCAAGCTTAGAAGAAGACATGCAGTTGTTTTTCTACCATTGTGCCAATCTCGTTGGACGTTTGCGAAGATTGTAACTGATTTTATCTGTCGAGTTAAACATCTTTCACAGTTTTTGCTTGAATTGCCTGCCATGGGGCAATTTTCCTTTGCATCTTAACAAATAATGGGTAATGTCTGATTCACATCATATGTGAACTTTGTTGCTGCTATTTTCAGTTCTTAACTGTCAAATTTTCTGGCTATTAAGTACTTAACCGTGAACTTCATTGCTGGTCTTTTTTAGTTCTTAATTGTCGTGGTTGTTTTAAGTTCTTAATAGCTGCTACTTTTGTAGCTACATTTTTAATTTAGTTGCCATGAAAATATTAAAAAATGCTCCAAAAAGTGGACATCGGGTACTTACCAAATTTTAAAGTATAGATGTGGGACTTCTAGCTGTGTTACTTGTCTTATTTGGTTCAATGTGCATAAATGCTCTTGTGCTTTTCTTTTGCTTCTAAATATGCAGGTGCATTTCTTAAATGGTGTTGGTATTTCCGTATCTTTGATGGCAAAGCAATTAAAATCTCTGATTGCATTTGTTCGCCCTAACTTAATTCTCTTTTAAGATACTTCTTGTTGTTTAGGCAGTTAACATGGTGGAAGACATTGCATTTCCCAAATGAAGGATTGAAATTGCACAACATCGTATTATCATGTGATTGCCTTTGCCTTTTACTTCTGTTTCAGGCACCTATTATATGTGAGAACTGATTTGAAAGTTTTTTAATGGGATTGTTATGAATACTTTTAAGGACTTATATTTAATTGGAGCTACCATATATATCTTTCTAATGAATTCCCGTTGGGTATGAAATAAATCTTGATGTGTTTCCAGTCAAAATCTGACGTTATTGTTATGATCTTTTTGTCACCTGCAGAAAAGGAGATGGGGAAGTTGGTTGAACGTATATTGGTGTTTTGGATCTCACAAACACAACAAACGAATTGGGCATGCTGTCCTTGTTCCTGAAACAACAGCCGCAGGAGGAGAGGTCCCTGCACCTCAAAATCAGGCCCAAGCACCTTCCATAGTGCTTCCCTTCATCGCACCTCCATCCTCTCCTGCATCTTTTCTTCAGTCAGAGCCGCCTTCTGCTGCCCAATCACCATCTGGTTTACTGTCCCTCACCTCTATATCTGCCAGCATGTACTCCCCCAGTGGGCCTGCCAACATTTTTGCTATTGGCCCTTACGCCCACGAGACACAGTTAGTGTCACCGCCAGTGTTCTCAACTTTCACCACCGAACCATCAACTGCTCCCTTCACTCCTCCTCCGGAGTCTGTACACTTGACTACACCCTCCTCGCCTGAGGTGCCCTTTGCTCGGCTTCTTGACCCCAGTAACCAAAATGGTGAAGTTGGTCTGAGTTTCCCATTCCCTTTAACACACCAAGAATTTCAATCCTATCAATTATACCCTGGAAGCCCAGTCAGTCATTTAATTTCACCTGGCTCAGGCATCTCTGCTTCAGGCACCTCATCTCCTTTTCCTGACAGTGAGTTTGCTCCTGGTCATCCCCACTTCCTTGAGTTTCGTACTGGTGAGCTTCCCAAGCTTTTGAATCTTGACAAGCTGTCTCCCCATCAATGGGGATCACGGCAAGGATCTGGTACTTTGACCCCAGATGCCGTGGGGCCTAGATCTCGTGACAATTTTCTCTTGGATCGTCCGAATTCTGATGTTGCTCCTCTCACAAATCTATTCAATGAATTGCGGAATTATGAAACTGTAGTTGATCATAGAGTTTCATTTGAGATAACTTCAGAAGCAATCAGATGCGTGGAAAACAAACCGGCAACATTGCTCAAGGCTGCATCAGTATCTCTGGAGAATACAGAACATTCTGCCAAAGGAGTAAAAAATTTGATTGACACAGCAAATGGTCATGAATGCCGTGCTGGAGAAACATCAGACAACTTATCAGAAAAAGCTTCTGCAGATGGGGAGGGTAGACAGCAGCAGCAGCATCAAAAGCACCGGTCGCCCACTCTTGGGTCTGTCAAGGAATTCAACTTCGACAATGCAGATGGTGGAAACTCTGATCAGACTAATAGTGGCTCTGACTGGTGGGCCAATGAGAAGGTTCCTGGGAAGGGTGTTGAGCCATGCAAGAACTGGTCCTTCTTTCCGGTGATGCAGACAGGTGTCAGCTAGCTGTTATGCATCCCTTTGGCGCTTTTATGCAGCGCTGTAGGGGTATTCACGGCTTCGCCTGAACATTCTGAATTCTGAACCCTCCCATCGCTGACTATTTCAGAGGTATGAAGCCAAATGGTAACAGGTTTTGTTCATTTTGGATGAAGGGAGGGTTGCATACATGAAGTCTATTTTTTTTAGCACTTCCTGAGATTAAAAAAGGAGACAGATGAAACTCTATTACTAGGATTAACATCAATAGCGTACTGTTTTCCCTGTTTATTGTCGAAACAAATGAAGTAACACCGTCTAAGTGATGCCTGTGTGCCTTCCATATGTAATATAAATAGTAGATAGATAGAACAGTGGTAACATTATGCTGGTAAATTGCTGATGATTACGAGAAAGTTGAACTTGTACATGAATGCTATTGGTGTCTCTCATGTAACACACCAAGTATTGGCGTTCTTCTGGTCCAGGATTAAAGGTGGTTCTAGTCCAGGATTAAAGGGAGTCGACGAGAGAGGTGACATTTTGGTAAGAGTAATGTTATTTAGGCCTAAAAATTTGATAGTAATTGACAATATTTGTGTGTGTGCCACATGTTTGATTGAAGGTAATTAGTTGTGATTGTCCAGGGGCGGAGCCTGGAATTTTGTTCTGGGTGAGCACTTTAATTATGCAATCTAATTTTTTTCTTTTAACCAATCACACTATATAACATATTTATATTTATTATATTATTTTTGATATATGAAGTCAATTTAACATAAAAAATTTCAAAAAAAAATGTATATTGTCAAGGGCGGAGCCATAAATATCTATAATAGAGACAAAATATAACTGGTATAAAAAAATATTAAGCCGAAATTAACACAAAAAAATTCAATTCAAGAATAAAAAAAATGTAAGAATCAATGAAATAGTAAATTTAATTTTTATTTAGCCGAAACAAAATCTTAATAAAAAGACACAAAATAATTTTTTTAGTACGTTTTAAACTTAATTATATATTTCAATAAAATATAAATTTTTTTAAAATCTCTAAAATTTTTTATATATGAATTAAATGTAAATTAATTTTTGTATTTTATTAGGTTATAAACTGCTATTACTAAAAAAATGGTAAATAAAAATTAAAAATTATTCTTAAAAAGTAACGAACATTGTGTTAGATAAAGAGAAATATTATATTTTTGTCAATATACAAATAAAACATTGACTCAATCTAAAACTAACATAATTATTTTAGAGGGTTAGTGGTCCACTAATTTATTAAAAAAAAAAAAACTAGAACCATTATTAAAATTTCCAAAAATTTAGGGGATAAATATAATGTATTAAATAATTTTATAGGTTGGTGCAAAGAAGGACTAAAAAACTCAAAGAATCGAGCTTCTCGTGTGTTGAGTTTTTCTTTGTTTCTTTTTTTTTTTTTTGTGGCTGGGCAATGAGCTGCTGGAAGTGAGTGATACAGAGAGAAAAAAAAAAAAAAAGATAAGATAGGTTTTAGTCAAGTAGGCTAAAACTTTTGTTTTTTAATGATGGTGTGCCAAAAGTTTTATTTTTAATGTTGGGCTAAAATTTTGTTTTTAATATTGGGCTAAAAGTTTTGTTTTTTTAATAGGTTTGGATGGATTGTGATAGGTCAAATATTTGATTTTTTAATAAGTTTGGATAAATAATAGTGAATTCAATTTTTTTTATTTTAAATGGACTTAATTGTTTAATTATTTTGGATAAATAATGTGGGTCTAAGATAAATGAGGGACACACATAATATATATGTATAAATATATAATACATATATCCAATTAATAAAAAAAAAAATTGAGGGAGGCACGTGCCTACCCTGGCCCTACCTCCCTCCTCGCCATGTGACTGTCTATGGCTGCAAGAGTGTGGGGATTGTTTGGGTGGCTGCTCTATATTAGACAACACCCATGATCCAAATAGAGTTACCATTCTGTAATTTGCAGCCCGAGTTATGATCGCCCAAAACTACATTTTTAGTTGTTTGAAAAGTTTTTACTTATTTTTTTTTTCACATTTGACAAAAATTATTTCAGCTTATCAATGGATGATTTTTTAATAATATGAGGTTTAGAAAGGGTGAAACACGGTGGTGGCGGGAGAGATAAATTTCATGCATCTCTCGGGGCGTCCACCGGTCTATATACTATAATATAACAACCTTATTAAAAGCGAGTGTTTAGAAAGTCTTTCTTCTTTAAATACTAATTTCTCCTAATTTTTAATAAAAAATGCATTGATCTCTCTTAATTAAATTCTTCCATGTGATTTATTTAATTACTCTTATCATTTTTTCAAATTAGTTTAAATTCAAAATTTTTATCAGCTTTATTAACTAATTTACATTTTAAAAATAAAGTAAACAAAAGTATTCATTATTAGGGTGGGGTTGGTAATAGTAACAAGTAATGATACAAAATATCGTTCATCATTGTATGGAATCACCGATAGTACAATACTAAAGAGAGGTGTCAAAATTTAAATTTTTTATCTCAAGCGTACTTATACCTCACATATTATATCAGGAGTCTCAAAAAAATCAAGTTTTTTTACCTTATATATTATATTTAAGTCTCAAAAAATCAAGATTTTTATTTAATATGAGGTGATTTGATATGGGAGTTTCAAAAGTTTTAATTAAAATTAAAGGTAATTTAAATAATAAAATAGGCAAGTTATGAATTCAGACGTATTAAATTTAAATTTTGACAATCTTTGTACTCATGAATAAAAAAAAATTGGTTATTATGACGAGGGTAAACTAATTCGATTGAATTTTCCGTACTAAAATGCTAAATCCAGTAAGAGCTTTTTACCGCAGAAGTATCCAATCTCTGGAGTAACACAGACCGCATACCTTCTGAACATACTCTGTTCTGTCGACACATGTGTACCACTTACCACCAGAAACCTGGTCCACCTTGGACAGCTTGAACGACCCGCCGCTCTACCCCATTCAGACAGCCTAAAGGCCTCTGGTTTCGGCCTTTCATTGACCACAAACACCATTTTGACCTTCTAGAACCACATCCCACCCACCCAACGACCTTCTCAGTTCTCTTCTCACCCCCCTTCAAAAACCAACCCCTCTTCCCTTCGTTGTCCACCAACCAATCTTCTGTGTTTTTTGTTTTCTGCTTTTGGGTTAGTGGGTTTCGTAGCTTTACATTAATTGGTGTGATCTTTTCCCCCTTGGTGAGTTTCGAATCTTGGAAATGCCCGAACATTGAGTCTCTCTGATTGAAATCTGAACTCTTGGGAGTCGGGTGTTTGTGGTAGTTGAATTTCTAAATCTGTGTTTTAGTTGCAATAAATTGTGGCATTGGGGAGCTTAAAAATGCCAGTTTCTGCAGAATCAAGGCCTGTTCCAAATGGGTTTTACCAGAACAAACCACACCCAAACTCGGACATAATCACAATTGATGTGGGTGGTCAGCTCTTTCAAACCACCAAGCAAACCTTAACCCTCGCCGGCCCCAAATCCCTATTGTCTGGGGTTTCAAGTTACGATCAAACTGTACCATTCATTGATAAAGACCCTGAATTGTTCTCTATCCTTCTCTCTCTCCTCAGAACTGGTCATCTTCCTTCAAAAGCCAAAGCATTTGATCTACAAGACATAATCTTTGAAGCCCAACTATATGGTATTGAGAACCTCCTTATAAATTCTCATTCAAACCCATCTCAGTTTGAAGCTTATAACCTTGAAACATCATTGGTTTTGCCTTTAACTGGCCGAGAGTCTCCCTCGGCTATCTCAACAACACCGTTTGGGTCAGTTCATGTTGCCCATGGTAGCAAAATCACTTCTTTTGATTGGTCTTTGCGAAGAAAATCCACCATTTTGACCCAATTCACTGCTGTTGATTCACTATTAGCCATATCGCCGAAGATAGTGGCTGCCGGTGCCACGGACTTTTCGGGCTTACAGATTATTGATCTTGACAAGGGTTTTGTGAGAGAGACATTGAATTGGGATAATGTTACTAGGTCTAGTTCAACAGTACAGGGAATTGGGTCGAGCTCTGAATTTTTGTTCACTAGTTTCGAGTCGGGTCGGAGAAATTCGAATGCAATTATGGTTTATGATCTTCAGGGTGGTTTTCGCCCAGTTATTGAGATTGGTCATTGTGAAATTTTTGGTGCTGATCTCGATTCTGCGATTCCTGCGACTAAACTGAATTGGGTTTCAAGCCACAATCTGTTAATGGCTTCTGGGTCTCATAGTGGACCATCCGGGATGTTGGGGAATATTAAATTTTGGGATATAAGGTCTGGGAATGTGGTTTGGGAACTCAAAGAAAAAGTAGATTGCTTTTCTGATGTCACGGTTTCAGATAATCTTTCAGCAATATTCAAGGTTGGTGTGAATTCAGGTGAGTTGTTCTTTGCTGATTTGAGGAATATTGGTTCCGAGAACTCGTGGGTTGGCCTCGGTGACAGAAGAAAGGTGATAAATGGGAAGAAGGAAGGTGTTGGTTGTAAGATTGAAAGCCATGGAAATCAAGTGTTTTGCAGCAAGGGAGGAGATTTGGAATTGTGGTCAGAGGTTCTCATTGGTGCTTCAAGCAAGAGTGAAAACAAGTTAAAAGACAGGGTGTTTAGGAAGAACTTAATGGGGAGAGCAAATGATATGGGAGGAAGTAGGATAACCCACATCTCTTTTGGAGGGAACAAAATGTTCATGACGAGGAAGGATCAGCAATTTGTTGAGGTTTGGCAGAGTTCAGTAAGGGATTCTGATCTCAAAAGCTTTAGTTAGGACTATTAGATGGAAGATTGTATGGCTTGTTAGTATTCAGCTTTCTTGTTTAGTCTGTGTATTACTTCCTGGTTTGGTTTATTTGTAAATGACTTTGTATTTTATCATGCTTCCAATTGTTTACAAATGCTAAGTTTTATGAGATTAATTAGCATCATGAATTGTTGGTCTTTTATGCTTCCCTTTCTCTTCTCACTGCTGTTGATTTTTTCATCATCCATGAATGCAGTTCTTAATTTTGAAGTTCAGTGAGATCTGTAGGGATTTATCAATGTGCTGTTTATGAATTAGCTGGTCCTCATATCCATGACCACAGGCAGTAATTGTTGTTGTTCTCTAAAGAGGCTCAATATTAGCACATAGGAATTAATGGACCTGAAATTAATTTGCTTGCATAGTACTTCTACCCATCATATGCATGAGAAACTTTTGAAGACAACACCCAATTTCTAGGATAACCACAAAATGCTCTCTAAATTGCAGTGGAAACATGTGTTGTTCTCCTAATTACTTAGATTATCTAATGTAGTTAGACCACTTGCTTCATTAACTATTATGAAGATCGACTTATCTTGCTTTATGTGATTGTCAGGTCAAATTTTGACATATTGACAGGGTCATTGGTATATTTTTGGGTTTTGTCTTGCCTATTGGATGGGGCACCAGGGATTCTGATTCGAGTTTAAACTGTCTGTGATAGCAAGGAGGTGGTGATGAGGTCTGGCAGAGTTTGGTAAGCGGGTTCTCATTTTCCCAGATTGATAAGGGGGTTCTAATTTTACTAGTATCTGTATATGTATGTTTAGAATGGTGAAATGTTAGAAGAAATTGTTATATAGATAGGTCACCAATCTTGCCAGGTAGACTAAACCGATTTTTTTTTCCTTGACATTTTCCCCTCCCGAACGAAGTTTGGAATCAGCATTATTGCAACAACAGATAAACTAACCTCATAATTGGCATCTACGCCATTGATTTCTCCTTATTTACAGCCATTGTCTTCTTTTTAGTTGGTCGAGCCATTGACAGAGACAGCCAAATACCCATGCTAGCCCTTCAAGTCTTCATTTTTATATTTAGGGACAAGGACAGCAATGTATGCTTCTTATTTTGATCCTCCTCCTGTCTTATATGGATCATCATTTTGCTACATGTTGACAAGTTAAAGCCAAAAAGAAAGATTTCTTCCACGGCTGTATGATTCATAGTAACCTAGTCAATTGATGCTTGTTTATTTAACGATGCTATCCATTGTAAGAAACCATTTGAGCTGTTTTCATCTGGTACTGGGTATACGATAGAAATATGCGCGTCATGCAATATTATGTGATCATGAAGCTGACTTTCTCGAGTGTGAGTGCTTGAAATATTAGATTTTTTATTTTGGGGTAACAAATGTGGAAGGAATTCTAATTGTTTAATTATCCCTTTTGCAGTCTGCCACAAGAAGGTTGAAGGTAGTATAGGTGCAGAGATTGTTCACCCTGTAATTATCGCTTTTATGCTGAGTTTTGTCCCAAAAATTGCAGGGTGAACAATGTGTTTGCTTTCTTACTAGGCTTGGCGTCAATTGAAATTATTGGGTCTTCTGCAACTCCAGGTGAGTCATGTTGGTGTCGATTGATACTTTGAACCATGGATAATCATGTTTGCTGGCATAATTTTGATTCAATTCAAGGTTGTACAGTTATGCACCCAGTGGGAGGGTATGCGCCTTTTGAATTCGTGGCTAGAATCTAAATCCCAGACTCCCATCGAAGTTTTTAGATTCAATTAACAAATAGGCAATCTTATGCATGAGGGTTTGAGGAAGATCAGATATATGCCGTCTTATTTCAGTATACAGAGAAATTATTTTCGCGACTCAAACTTTTGTCTCTTAATTTACAACTATATTCAATCATTTCGACAATTGTTCAACCCTTTCAGTATCGACAAGTGTTCAACCCTTTCAGTAATTTCTCATAAATTCGAGTTAAAGAATCAATCTCTTCAGAATAAGAGTAAAAATGACTACCACTTGTCACTTACCTCTCTTAAATGTTACTGTAGAAAAAAGTCTCACACACTAGATACGACCTTTAATTTATATTAATAGAAATGTGATACCTTCAAAGCAAGGCTTATCCTATTAATGATACAACCAACTCTTGACAAAGAAAAATTGCATCTTCTTTTAGCTTGCACAGGCTGTATTGAGATCCAAGCAAATGATTATATGGTATTTTTTATTTTTTTTTGATTTAAATTTCACCCAATAATAGATTACCTGATGTGCGTTCAAGAAAAATTCACTAAATATATAAGGTGTATTATTTATCATTAGGGAAATTTTAATGCAGATATATTGGAGGGGATATCTATCTTAATAATATTAAGTAATACTCATCCAAATAAACCAAGTTTAAAAAAAAAAAAAACCAAATAAGCCAATTAGATATACTAATTTTCAGATGGAAAATGATGTTTGAGTAATGTTATTTGGGATATTATTTGAGAATTTAATGGTTGCGGTCATTAAATTATCGGTAGGTCCCAATATTCAATAGATCTTACTGTTAATTCAATAGATATAATATATTAAATCTCTAAATTATAACCCTAAATTATGTTTCAATAATGTTAGTAATGATATTTGCGGTGTGCGCAATGAATGACCTAAAAATGGGTTTTGTTTAGCCAAATAAAAATAAGAGTTAATAGTATTTTTTGTTAGGTTAGTCTTAATTGTATCAATTTTATCAATTTGGTTCCTAAATAATTCAATCCGTATCACTTTGGTCCTTAATTAGATAGGGTTAATTATAAATTGCACCCTGAAAGATTATTTGAATCTCAATTTGTACCTTTAAAGATTAAAAATTTTAATTTACACCCTCAAAGATAGAAATTTGTATCAATGTACACCTCCAAAGATAAAAAATCTCAATTTGCACCATCAAAGATAGAAATTTGTATCAATGTGCACCTCTAAAGATAAAAAATTTTAATTTACACTCTAAAAGATAGAAATTTGTATTAATGTGCACCTAAATTAAATTGATAAATTATACCTAAATCTCTTATGTTGGTCACTTAATCAGTTGTACCTCTTTACATTTAGAATATTATTCCTACACCTCATGACGTTTGTGCACGTGTAACACGTAACCCCTTTTCGTTGATATCTGTTAATATAACTGTTAAAAAATATAATTTTATTCTAATAAAAAATTATAATTTCATATTGCCCTTTATTTTATGGTTTCAATATACTCTAAAATTCAAAATTAAGCTAACCATTTGAATGTCTAATAGAATAAAGGGTTGCACATTGAGTGATATATTGCATTTGATATAAAAAATATTATATAAATATCTACATTCTTTTAGACATTCAAATGGTAAGCTTGATTTTGAACTTTAGAGTACATCGGACCCACAAAATAAATGGTAATATGATATTATAATTTTTTATTAGGGTAAAATCATATTTTTTAACAGTTATATTTACATACATTAACGAAAAAGGGTTACGTATTAAACATGCACAAACACCATGAGATGTGGGAGTAATATTCTAAACGTGAAGGGGTCCAAATGATTAAGTGACAAGCATGAGAGGATCTAGATATAATTTATCAATTTAGTTTTAGATGCACATTGATACAAATTTTTATTTTTGGGGGTGTAAATTAAGATTTTTTATCTTTGGGGGTGTACATTGATACAAATTTCTATCTTTGAGGGTGTAAATTGAGATTTTTTATCTTTGGGAGTGCACATTAATACAAATTTCTTTGAGGGTACAATTTGAAATTTTTGATCTTTGACGGTGCACATTGATAAAAAATTTTATATTTGAGGGTACAAATTAAAATTTTTGATCTTTGACGGTGTAAATTGAAATTCGGACTATCTTTCGGGGTGCAACTTGCAATTAACCTAATTAGATAATCTGCCAATTTTTTTGACGAAAGTGACCACATTTCATTTTTTTAGAGGGTATCACGTGTCTAACACGTAATTATTCTATTAAAAATTTAAATCAAAATAATACGAATTAAATATTTAGTAATCAAATTAATATCATAAAAACTACAAAAATACTCTAAAATTAACTCATCACCAAACCTTCTTGTAATCAATTGGTGAGACCCAAGAACTTATCATGGGATTACGACCCAAGCATGTGAGGCTTGGTTTGTCTTAAAACCAGCTGGGTCCTCAAAGAGGTGTAGCAGAACGCAAGGGACATGCATAGCTAATACATCGCCCTTGTATAAGCACTCACTGCCACTGCTGTATGGACCATGTATTTCTAGGATGGTGATTGCCAAAATTTAATAACCTCTTCAAGAACCCTTTTGGATCACTCGGATGTGAAAACTTCAGGTGGGAATTTTTTTTTTTTTTTTTTATGGGGTGTTTGAGTCAATTTACATGTATTTCGAGTCTTCGAATAAACCCCTCTATGGTTTGAATAAAGACAAATCATCTATGTTGGGACTAAAATATTAATGAGAGATAAATCTCTTGTAGTCTGGCCTTAAAAGATTGTCAAAATTCAAACTCACGACGTTTGGGATTATAACTCATTCTTATTACCATTTAAGCTACTCCTTAGAATTCAAGTGGGATTATTTCAAAGACTCAAGTTTGAGTCTTGTAAAATAACGTCAGTGTACCCAATTTACTGGATATTCGAATCCAAGAATCAATCTATTTTAAAAAATACTTAAGTTAAAAAAGAAAAGAAAAAAAAAATATAGCCATAAATCATAAATAGACACTATTGCAGACGATTTAACAAGTATTCATCTATTCAAGTAATACTTTGGGTATTCGAATCCGAGAATCAATCTTTTTAAAAAAAAAAAATATTACCTAGTGGACATACTCTTATTTTCCTCTGACCCTACTATAAAAGAGGCTTATAAACCAACTACAAATTGATGCTATGTTATTGTTAGGAGCTTATAGCTTTTTACCACAAAGAGTACTTGAGGCGGCAACAATGCGGACAGGACAGGGCACTGTCTATTAATTCAATCTTTCTTAGACAGTGAAATAGAACGCAAATAATGGATGCGGTGCCTGCCTTATTAAATGCAACTCATTAATACACACTATAGAATTTCCCAACCTTCTAGATGCGTATAAGTATCGGAGGTCAGGACAGGGCAATCATGCATATAATTTCGTAAAAACAGAGCATATAACATTTAATATATTTTATATACAATGCACAATAGATACAATAATCTAGACTCATGTCTTACAAGTCTTAGATAAATCAAGAATCTAGGTTCTGATACCAAACTGTGACACTCCAAAATCTGAATATCAGTAATTACCTCATTGATCACCCATCAACCGGCGGAATACCCCTGGTTACCGTGAAATTTGATATCATGCCGTTATGCCCCATTTATCGAGATCCATAACTCAATAAAATTCGGACAAAATCTCTTTTGTACGAGTAACTCTACCCTAAACGCAACATGTACAACATTGACCACACCAAGTCCATTCATTCATACTCAATTGTATAATATCGGATACTAGCATAATCATTATCATTACGTACATTCATTCATAAAAGAATAAATATTTCAAAAGAGTCTCATATACATACATTTTTAATATAAAAAAAAATTTTGTTTATAAAAATTATATAAGGCCAAAAGTAAACATATACAAGGGACTGCAAAGTTAAAATAAGAGTCATAGACCGGTTATGTCGTCAAAGCAGGCCCATTGACTTGGGTTCGGTGGATGCATGTGCGATACTTGAAAAATGTTCTTATAAAGGGTGAGTCAACGCTCAATAGGGTAACTCCTATAGAGAATACCTCTCAACTCAAATGCATATGAAATGTCATATGCAATAATCATTTCATGCATTCATTCAAATATGTCAATTACAAACAAATATTATAAATCATATCATGTCATTAGATGAGACTCATGCAAATAATACCAATATCGATCCTCATTCTGAGCTCTCACAACACATGCAATGTCATGCGTATGTATCCGGACATTCCAAGCCCCTGTCATTGGTGTTATGTACATTCAATGACTAATTAATTCATTTTCTTGTGTCTTTGTGGGGAGATGATTTATGGTATTACACCAATGGGATACCAACTATCAACGGATTTTTAGGATATCTCACCTGCGGCTCCGTTCTCGTCGTTACACTTTTTTGGAATTGCACCGCTGGAAAGTATATAAACTAATTAAGCGGGTCTTGCACTCGAGGGAAAATCAAGTCTTTTTTACTATCCCCGACACGTTTATCCATTTAAGTTCCCGTACGATTCAGCCAGACCTTGATACGACTTTCTCTAGCCCACGATCAACCACCTATGTGGTGATTAATTTCATATCATAGACACACTCCGACCCATATTAATGCCCATGAATATAATAAATGTAATATAATGACATTTTCTATACAATCTCAAGCATATTATGTAAGATAATCAACTCAATTAACATACTTGTATTCATTTAGGTATTTGAACAAACATAATTTTTTTTTTTGGGTTTTGCAATATATATAGCTCATGACATATGATTTATTCTTACTAAAAATTAAATCTTTTTTCCATGAGAAGTGGAACATATAGGCAAAGGCCTCTATGATCAGGCAAAGGCATGTTTCATTGAAAGTTGAATCTAGAACCTTTCATGAGAAGACAGACACTTGAAAGGTTTTATTCAGGTCGGCCCATCAGTATGAAAAAAAAAATATGGATTTTAGATTTCAAATTTTTAAAAGGTCCTATAATTTTAGGTATATCACTAGCTCACAAAAAAAAATTAAATCCATTAAATTTTAAGCCATACAAAAAAATCTCAAAAAATTAAATCCAATTAAAATTTTTATTGCAATAATTTGGGTCTATAATCTAATTCATAACATTAAAAATTTAAAAATTAAAAAAATATTTAAAAG